AATAGTGCCTAGCATTCTGTTGAACAAGTTCGAATGGATCACCAACCAAAGACTAGAACTAGCTGCTCTTGAAGAGAAAGCATATTGGTACCATTTCCATGAAGTTATTGATTTCAGGGTTATTGGATTTCCTTCGAATTTGACTTTGCAACAGATCAGTCAAAAAAGTCCTACTTCCATTTCCCATTTTTCAGTACCCTTCAGGTTAGGCAACTATGTGGAAAGCAGTAGAAATACTTTGTGAAGTTTCGAGCTTCCAATGAAGCAGCTTATAGATTTCGTGCATTAAAACTTATTGGAGATTCTTCAGAGAAAATCCAACTCGAAGTCATTCCTCAAAAGCTCTAGGTCTAGCAGAGGTTCCTGACACCGTTCGTGTTCCGACCAATCTATGAGGAGTCACTGTTGTCTTCTATGTTGCCACTTCATGGAACGGCATGTTCTCACGGTCGGCTTGAAGAATCAGCGCGCAGTATTTCGTGAGTAAGAGAAATCATTACGCAACATGTGATGGCAATACCCTTCTGGTTGACACAGCTCACTGAGAAAGTGATTCGCTTCGAAAATGAAGCAAAAAGCATTAGACAAGTCTAACACAAATTAGGCGACCTCCAGAGGGATCGAGGGCTCGCTTGGAGACTTGATTCGATCCTAAATCGAAGTCGCACGGGCTAAGTGGCGCCATCTTCTTTACCTCCAACCTCACTATGATATACTACATATATTGCACAACCTAGACTGTTAAGTCCACGCAATCAGCTGCAGATGCGAGGTCAGGTAAGCGGCTCTGATTGGGCAGAATCCGCCGCTGCATTTCCCGCAGCCGGCGAGAGGGGAAAGCGGTATAACTACACGTTATATAAGTTTAATTAGGAAGTTCTAGAAGCTTTTGGATGACTTTCTAAACTTAACTGTAATTCTATAAGTCCAAGCAACTCTAAATCGCTCTCTGTATCGAAATTTCGAGCTTCTGACTTCATAGTACTATTAAACAAGTGCAGCTTTCCATTTGTATACAAGAATTAATTACAGAGAAAGAATGAAAATTTGCAGTCACATTAAAATCTCGCTTGTTGGACTCCCTATAGAATAAAAAGTTGGATAGAACACACGGAGAAGCGAGTTATCTCCACTGAAGGAAGTCCTAAAATTTCCTGCATTTGAATAGTGCTGCAAATGCGAACGCCGAGTTCTATACTTTTCGAGAAGAAAACAAAAACAGACTCTAGGTTTTCAGTTGCCAGCTCCTCTATCACTGGGGTACACACATGGTAGCCGATGTCGATCGGTGCCAGCTCTCTCTAAGCAATCATGCATGACACTACTAGAGAGCAGAGGCATATTCGGCACCGATACAGTGCAAATTATTTGTTTAGTTAAAATTATATGTATGAATTGTTCTTCTTAGTATGGAACTACACCGCAGACGGAAAGGATATTATAGTTCTTACTTTGAATTCATTACAGCGACCCTGCGCTCGCGGATGCGACTAAGGAGAAGAGGAGAATCAGCCTCGTTGGCGACATGCCCTTGAGGGAGCAACAGTTAAACACAATTAAAAGCCATGTCCCTGTGCACTTCAGCACAATGAGGAAGATCGAAGAGTCCAAAGTAACCTAAACTGCTTAGAGAGACCAAACAAAACTAAATTAGGCGCTCATCCCGGTTAAGAGGGGCATTGCGGTGCACGGTCTGCTCTAATGCCAATTTGGCTCAAGGAGTCCTTTAAAGTTACGAGCTGCTATCAGCTTTTTTCCTATGTTATTTCTTCAGGTGTTTTGTGTAATGTATGTATTCTTGTACTAGATGACATTAACGTCTACGAGAAGTAATATTCACCTAGTCAGCAGGTCAGGACCGATTGTGAGCCTGAGAGGGGGGAAGTCCTACCGGGGAAAACCAAGATTGCTCACGGACCCGGGGTCCCTTCTAATGCTTAGTCCTGAATGTTTGCAATAAAAGAATATGCTTTCCGTGGTTTGAAATGTTCTAAATCGCTATGCCCCCCCCCCTACCGGATGAGCGCCCTAAATTAAATCAGAAGAAAGTGCGTGATTGTGTTCTGAGTAGAGAATACAGGGGTAGAATATCAGCAAAAAAAAGCAAAACCAGAAAAAATGAAAGTGAAACCTTACACATGGGCAAGTAGCTACTTCAATTATATCGACCAAGCAAATGAGTGTAGATACAGCGCTGTAGTAGTAACATAAGTTGTAAACCAGTTACAGTTCCACCAACAGTAAGTAGGTACATACACACTGGCGCGCGGCCAGGCGCGCGTTGAGTGCAGACCGCACAACACACGCCATGACGGCCCCCACAAAATGCATTTGTTTTCTGGCTCTGTAATGACTAGCCGGTTGCGGTTGTATTCATAATTTGCCACTAATTACAACTAGCATTTAACAAATAGAAAGCCGGGGCGGAAGTGGAGTAGCGCTAAGTACTTTGTCCAAGTTCGACTTTGCATGAATCTTGGCATATTTTCAGAATAGAATAGTTTAGTACTGAGCTTCCGACCAAGATTGTCAATAGCTTTATTTGGCCGACGTTTCGGTGCTTTCACCTTCTTCAGAGCCTGGAAAAGTCGAAAGCTATTTAGGAAACTACCCGTCCAAACACTATTTCAACCTACAAGATTCATTCAACAGGGAGTAAACTACTAAAACAATGTCATGGAGGGAGATGAGAACGAACCTTTAGAGATGCTGGCCAGAGAGGTCCACCTGCCACCCCGCCAAACATAAAGCCTATTGACTAATCTTGGTCGGAAGCTCAGTGCTAGTACTTGCTCTTACCACACGCGCGATGCAGAGACCGAATCCGGGTCGTGAGTCGCCCAGGTCCAACCAAGCCTCCCATGGGGTCGGTTAATTGGTACCAGACTTGTCTGGGAGGATAAAAACACTGACTTGTACATCGGCTGGCCCCCGCAAGTCATTGTATAGGCCACATCGCATTCAAACGCCACTACGAATGGAAGTAGAATGCGTGCCGCATCCCAAAAAGGGATTGATCAACGGCAAATGCTTTATCCTTTATCAGCTTATCCTATGAAGCTTCTAATAATAAGATTCACTTTACTTAAGTGCCGTCGTCACTTGTGTTGTGTGGTCTGCCCTCGACACGCACCTGGCCGATGGAGTCAAAGGATAAGCATACGTGGACTAGAGGGACCAGTAGTATAAACTCTTCTAACGTCTGCCCAATTTTGTCGAAATATATTTAAAACCACTGCTTTATTAGTACTCAGATGTTAAAATTGTCCCTAAATTCTCCAACATAAGGATTCAACAAGTACCATTTTTTTCATTTCACTCCCCTTCAAAAAACTCTTTCAGTCAGCGTATTTTTTAGAAATAAGGTATTTCTCCTTTGTACTAAATTCCTATCAGTGTATTGATTATTTTACGTTGTTGCTGTTAAAAAAAATTGCGTAATTACAAGGTGAAGATACGAAAAGTAAACGTTCGAACCACTGCACCAAATCACGAAATCTCGTTAGCATGTCCCTTCAATCAGGCGAGAGCCGCAAATGGAAAATGTAGCAATTTCAACAATTAGGAAGTGGGACCTTGAAAAATCACAGGATTTGCAGGAAAGGATTCTGAATGAAAGGGGACCTCTCGAGAGGCTTATTAGGAGAAAAACGCGAGAAAATTCTAGAAATTTCGCAGAAGAAGAATCGATTTCCAGAGTGATGACATCACCAGAAATCAACGAATCCGCTTATCGCTTGCACTCGGAAGACCCACAACCATTAACCCTAGTAAACTTTCCAATTTTTTGACGAGTTGCTGCATCACCAGTCCCATTGGATGAACTGATAAAGACAAGCTATTTTTTGTACGAGCACTACTGACCCAAGAGGGCGAGTTTTCCGTGTAAATTTCAGCGACAAAGTCGTCGGTCTTTCCGAATGACAGTGGATGTGGCGGTGTGCAACGAGAGCTCGTTCGAACAATCAACGCCGTGAGAATCCGTGGGATTCCCCGCCTACGATTACCACCACCAGAAGATTCTATGCAAACCAGCAATCGCTACTAAGCTTTTCATCACGTCCGCTACGTAATCACTCTATGCTTCACACACACACGCACACTTCCTGTTGAATAGAGGACTCCTAATGTATGAGATTAGGCCGAGCCTGACGAATAACCTCGGGGCAATTCGGTTCTCAGGAGATTAGCGTGTTGTCGAATCGGCCCGAATTCCCTTTGAATCGCGTTCAAGCAGGGTAAAATGTTGCAGATGGGATCTCAACCTGCTGAAAAGTGGATCTTTTTTGAAGAGAACAGCGATTTCAGAGCTTAAAGGTGACACTAGTAATATGGAGTATTCTTGTGGGATATAGAGAGACTTCAAAATTGTGTATTACGCGCCTTAACAACTTTCTCAGCTATGGGCCTCCTTCGAGGAGCTCAGTAATAGTCAATCGGTATAAAACTGAAAAGTTTCGTCAGATCAATACCACTATACGCCATGCATTCGACCTCCGCCCCTAGTCGAACAAGAATTTTGATATGTGTTTTCCACACACGGTAGCTTGCGGCGCCCAGTTTGTGTAAGCCCACGGATTTAAGGTTTCACACTCTGGGATAGCTTCAGTTACAAGGCGACAACGCAGGGATGTAGGGCTTGGAAGAGGATTAAGGTAGGGTCGGGAATGACTGTCCTTGACAAGATCTTGTTCGAAGTGTTCCTCAGCCGCTCCTGGTCAATACAGCCGCTGTGGTAACTCAACCCAATACAAACGATCGCTCCAAAATGGGCAAATCTTCGAAGTGATGGCATTTCTCAATTAAAACACTGTATTCGAATAGCCACAAAACTCATAAAAATATACAAAATAACAATAAAAAATGAGATTTAGGGTGAAGGACTTAAACACTTGGGGCAATCTTTCAGAACATTACGTGGGTGGAATAAAAACTATCAAGAAAATAGAGAAAAACACGTTAAATGAACAAGTAATGAACCGTTTTATCACAATGGTTGTTCAGTGACTCCGCCTCCAGAAGTTGGGTATCCAACAAAATAAACTCCACCCAACAGGTTCGTGCTCGCTCGGTGTTGACAACTCATTATAAACCTTCAACACGAAAAAAGTAACCAAAACAAGTATAACTGCTAAATAAAAGTTTTGTAAATGATTTAGAAAGAATATCAACCGTGCGGCGCTATGGTAAGATAGGGGAGCATGCTCTAGTACTAATCCCAGATGGAGGCAGGAACTTCGGGAACAATGAAAATTGCTCAGGCACCTAAGAACTTCTCCTCCACTGCTCAGGCTCAGTCTTGATTTTGACAAAAAGGAGGCGTTTTAAGCGATCATTGCCGCCAGATATCCCTGGATCTTGCGATAGTGCCCAACCGTGCTGTTGATAATGTTACTTTTACTGTGGACCCTCCGAAAATTCTCCTATACTCAGTTTCAGGAGCATTCCGTTGGAATGTATAGCTTTGGAAACTCCGGGAATGTGCCGAAATAAAGCCGGCGAATCGTTCCGAAGTATGATTTACGATGCTAACAACAGAGAGATTCGTCTATTTTCGAGGGCCATGATGCGCACTCGTCGGCATACACAGAGAACGCCGCAGAGCGCTGATCGTTTATCATCACATCTCCGAAGCTTCTCATGTTTGCTTCTTTTTTCGGTGATGTTTTTCAAGTTTGGTGCATCACTCGGATCCCACGAGATTTTCGAAGGTTTCCATCACAATCGAAAGCTTTTTTGCTAACTCGAAAAAACCCACAGCGTTTCGCCTTCCTTCGTCTATGACGACTCTGGTTGCACTTATCACAACAAACGCTCCAGAACGGGCACTTGCCCACATGAGATTAATTTTCGTCAAAATAATTCTTATCGCCACCTCAAAAAATGCTAGATAGCATCGAGCAGAGAAGTATTCGCTGGACCAGTTCGGGACGATGGATCATTTCAGTCAACTTTTTCTAACTTTCTAAATTCCACCTTACTCTAAAACGCTTTAACGGGTAGCCTTCCGGCTCATTTATCCCATCATCTCGAAGCCGAAAATGTTCATGTATATAGCTCTAAGAAGGGCTAAGATGAAGCAATGATGTTTTGCCTCAAGACTCGACCCTGTCTAGACTTGAGGAAAAAACACCAAACTGAGATGTATATCTCGACGCGAAATGACTTATGGCGCAAACTAGTCCTTATGCGCACCCCATTCCGAAATCACGGACAAAGCAGAATAAGGAATTAGGGTGGAGCGAACCTTGGTAGTACCATCGGTAGCGCGCAATTGCCACAAAAGGACAGATGCGAGTACGACCACATGTAGGGCAGAATATTTCACCCAAAGCGCAGCATAACCTCTGTCTGCGGCAGCCAGGTGCGTGTCAACTGCAGACCTCACAACACAAGTGACGACGGCTTCCAGAAAATGCCAAATGTTTTTTTGCCAAGCTTGTTGCAGTTAAATTCTGTCATTTGTAACTAATTGCATCTGTTTATCAACTACCTATAAACTACTAGTGACAGATTCACGTCGTTACATGTGTTGTTAGGATCTGTATTGCAGAAAAAACCCTAGCCGTCATAAACAAGGATACTTGCAATAAAATGTACAGCCCTCTACTTGAATCGGCGCTACTGAACGTGCACAACTAGCTTCCGAATAATTTTCGTGGGCTCAGAAAGCGAGATGAATGTGCGGTCAGCGTTATCCAGCGCGCCATCGAGAGAACAATGCCCGAGGTTTCCTTATTCAGTCGAGTGAGAAGCAATGTCCATAGTCCACGGTCGACGATCGAAGATCAGCCACGCTGACGCATATGTTTAGGTGTTCGGGAATTAGTTGGGGAGAATCATTCTGCTAAGTGATACACGTCTGGTGGCGGGACTCCTACATCCAGAATCGACTGTCCTTTGTGCTGGGAACAACTGGGAGGGGTCCTATTCAGCGAAGCGGCAGGCATCGTGTTCATAAAAAAATGGGAAGAGAAATTATCGAACAGTGGCTCAAAATTTTACAAAATGTAGAATAATTTGGAAATTCCCGCTTCAGCAATTTACAGACACAGCCTCCCGTCCCCCGCTCAACGGACTTTCGAAGGATGGAAGTGCGATAAGTGCTGTCAGCAACATCCCCAATAAAGATCCGAGATTGTATTATTGGGGAAGGGGGGAAGAGATAAATTCGGAGAAAAAAAACCCTGAGCTCCGTGGATTTCAAGAGGGATCGCTAGGGTACAAGGAATCCCACGAAGCCCTACGTACGACATGTCCAACAAAGTGATAAAATAGGGCATTGTTGTCATTCTGATGAAACCTCAAGGGTGTTGTCTGGAGCCACTGATGAGCCTTTATAAAACAGCCACTCTCTACTAGAGCAGAACTAAACCAATAAAGGTCCTAGAAATTTCAGAAGTTTTTACTTTTTCTGCTCAAACTTCATCTTTTAAATGTCAATAACAGCGTAAAAAGCCGTGGATGGCTTCGCCACTCAACCATCGCACCCACTACCCTTAATGTTGATAATGTTGAGGTAACGCCCCTATATACTACCTTACAGTACAAAAATGCCACTCACTGATGAGGTTCGTTTGCGTGAGTACCTATTTCAATGATTTTGTGAATATTGAAAAACAATGCATAAGTTTAAATTTAGCCAGACTTGTATTCCTTTAATTCGTTCAATAACAAACCTCAGCGTTTTCCGACAAATATTCCCGAACGTCCGATCGTCGCTCAGCCAATTTGTCCAGCGTTTCTATCAGTACCTCTTCGCAATTGATCCCCGTCACTGCACTGTCAAAAGTTCACGAATCATAAAAGAACACTTTACAGTGAAGGTTAGAACTTTATAACTGCAAAGTTTTGCTCACCCAAGGAGAACCCCACAAATTATGTTGACAGCCTACCTTGTCTCAAATAGAGAGAACCCGTGTTCTATGGATTTTTTCTCGGCAGCTTCGTAAGAGATCATTCTAGACTCGACGAGGTCAGCCTTTGTTCCTGCTATGCAGATGTCGACATCTGGCGCTACCTATAATATTTGCATCTTAGGACTCATGAAAGTAAATATGACAGGAGTATCCCTCTTCTGTCCGTTTTAAGGAGGACATGGTGTTGCGACTAATAGCCAAGCTCTCGGCCTGCTACGCGCATGGACCCGGAGACAAATCCCTTCTCGTTCTAGGTTACAGGAGGGTATTCAGGACACACAACTCAAAAATGACGGTCATGTAACGCAGTAACGCAGAAATAATGGTAATCGAGCCCAAAAAGAATGTTCTGCTTCTTCAAATCCATTCTGTGAAAGCGCTAAAGTGACGGATTTGGAAGAAACGTCAATGTAGCAAAATTTTCGATCTATTTTTTTGACCGCTAGTTCAACGCTACAGACCGCGCTACGAATTTCACAAGATTGACAAGAATGCTGCATCATGGGGAGGACTCTTGAGTGGTGATAAGCTATGGTAAATATCCACCAAAAGCAGAAGAAAGTGAAGGTGCCGCGGCGGTGCTCTGTAGCCCAAGTGCCCGGAAAGCGAGAAGTGCGGGTTCGATTTCCTCCTATGGCGAAGGGTTTTGTCTGTAACCCAGCACCCTTCTATGTTAGAAAACGTTCAGAATAATTTACCATCTTTTGCAGGGCTCGCAACACGTCGTCAATTTCGTCAAATGTGTCCGTGTTTGTTATATCATATACCAGTATTAATCCATTCACATCAAAGTATTGCTTGACCTGTGAATTATCAATGCACTGATGGAGTCAGGTCTACTACTAGGATTCTACTGGAATCCTTGGAATTGCACTTACAAAGTGAACCCTGGCCTGACTCGTGGGAGCATCGTTTGAAAGAAACTCGGATAAATCTGAAAATATATGGAAGATAAATGTCAGTAATCTATCAAGCAAACATATGAACTTACCAACTTCGACCACATCTGCTTTAACGATGGATCCATGGAGAGCTCGGACTAGTACGGTAACATCCGTCAAGCCGGCCACGTCTTCGCCGTCGCTAAAAACATTGTCCTTCAAACGACGAATTAGAGCGGATTTTCCTGTTCCACGCCTTCCAACCACCAGAATTTTGTAGCGATTCGCAGCGTACTGTAAACTCATGCTAAATCAAATTAACCATGTCTTTAATTAGTAAAGTAGTAGTATAGCGAGAAGGTAAAAATTTAAGGTGGTACTATTGATAGACATTTCTCCACAATTACGCAGCAGGTTCCACTCTCTGCTAGTTGTATCCCTTCCCCTTTACAAATGCGCCTTACTTCCTTTACTGGCCAACTTAGGTGATAACACCGTGTTCAGGAAAGAATTTAAAGGGATCGTCCACGAAAAAACCTTGTCTGCATGCTCACCAGAAAATAATACCTTAGCCCCCTTACTTCAGGAGGATAACGAAAAGAACGAAAAATAAGCATTTGTTCCGGTATTTATTTCAGCAGCCGGAGCCTATGAGAAAATCGACCCCCGCCGTAAAATGATCACAACTGTCGGCCTTGGAGAGTCAACAGGTACAAATGTGTTGAAAGCGTGAAGGTCAACGGGTTTCATGTTAAACTTTCCTAGGATCTTACACGTGGCACTACAGCAGTTGTGCACTTCATCACAAAAGCACTTCCGGTCCTCTCCACCGTGCCAGATGCCGTCCAGCAGATGCGATGGAACAGCTCTTTCCCGTGGACTGCCCCTTTAAGTATTAGGTTGTCCCGAAATTAATGCCGGTTTCAATGTCTCATACTTTATTTGATATTTTTCCGAGAAATTTCCATACGATTGCTGTACTATTGCATATCGTTGGAAAGCCCATTTCATTCTCTTTCTTGCACGGCCATTGTATTTTGATGGGACTCGGGCCTCACTTTTTTTAAAGGTTTGAAGTGAAGGCGTCAAAGTAGTGGTTTGAGCAGGTTCACTTCTATGAGTTGAAATTTGGAGAGGGTGCTGTGCGGACAGCTCGGAATAGGATTGCTGTGTGGGGCTAAGGATGTTGCAATAAAAGCACACTGCTTCGATGGCTCCGAAGCTTTCAAGTTAGGGAAATCTAGATTCGAAGTGAGGGGGTTACGGACGACATTCTCCTCTTGACGGCGGCCTTCTGAAGACCCGGCAGAAGAAGATTTCCAAACAAGTGTACGGCAGCCAGCAGCATAACCTTGAGCAAGCATACTGAAATTTTCGGAGCGCCTGAAGGTACTTGGGAAGGTAAGAAAGCTGGACAAGTGGGTACCGCATGAACTGACTGAGCAGCAGCAAAGTCACCTTGCAGGGATCTTGGCACAACTTTTTTTACTCAACAAAAATGTCCGACTCTGGAACTTTTCGTCATCCTCGACGGAAATAGGACCCTTCGCTATAGAATAGAGCAATTTTCCAAAAATCTAAACAACTACGAACATCAAAAACTTTTTCCAAAGTAGAATTTCTACAAGGTGAGGACCATGCTGATGGTTTCGTGGCCTTCCGGAGTAATGATGCATCGCAGCTTTCTGAACCCAGGTGATTTTGGTAGAGCATCAATGTCTGTCCATAACATCGATATAATGCTCCGTAAAGAGCAAGGCCTCTAACCAGAAGAAGGAAAAGAACTGTTCTCCATGTTGACGCCCAGCCACATGTCGCACAAAGGTCTTCGTAAGAAAGGGATAAATCAACCTATCCAGCTTTGCTTCTTACAGTGCATTCGCAGGATCTCACCCTCACCAACCTCCTGTTTTCCGGCAATCTCGACAGCTTCTTGGGGAGAAAAAGATTTGAAAACCGAGACATGATGGAAAAGACCTTGGCCGATATTTGAGCTTCTATTGTTCCTGTATCTCAAGTTCGTTAATTAAACCAGTACGCTTCCTGTTAAGAAAAATGAGTAGTTTCCAACACTTTTTTGAATTACTGAAAATGTTGAGTTTGAGCTGAGATATGTTGCTTTGAAGACGGAGGTCAAAAACCGGCATTAATTTCCGGACAACCTAATACAAAAGCGTGCGGATCCACTGCTACAGACGGATAGTTTTTAGAGGAAATCTTATCTCACTGTATTATTTGGAACTCATCTTGGATGGAAGTAGAATGTGTGGCGATCTCTTCAGGAAACTGATCAAGGGCTAATACTTATCTTTTGTCCTTTCAGTTTGATGTGGCCAATACAAGTTTTTCGGAAACCAGATATCACCGCAATAAAAAATCAAAAACGTTGTTCAATACCAAAACGCCCTGTGCCATGGATTTACCCCATTTGTGACACTATCAGTTTTACTTTTTCGAGTTGGGTTACTTGTATTGAAGCCAAAAAGCACTACAAATTACTCTCATCCATTTTTTCCCTAGCTATTGATTTCACGCCATTGGATTGCAGGCACCTTGGTGTTCGGCCAGTAGACTTTGAAAAATAGCGGTTTTCGGCGACAGGGTGTTGGTTGTAACATGATTTGTGAGACTCTGAACGAATCGTTAAGTTTTCTAAAATACCGTGCTTGACAACGTGCTTTACACCTACACTCTTGAAAAATTGTTTTAAAAATTGCAATATGTTTTTTTTCACTTGTCTTGTCCTAGTCTTAGTTGTAGACATCTGCATTAACCCGGCTTTTACGTTGAAAAAGCGGCTCATTAGAAATCAAAGTAAGGGTTGTTAACAATGCAGGGTTAGAGAGAAAACCAAGAAAGAATGGCCTAGAATCCGAGGACTGGGACCCCTTTTTTAGCCCTTGATTTGTCCATTGGGACGTACTACGGCGTACGTCATCAATTAGCGCTATGCTCAGTGCAGAGTCACTTCCATTGGTCAATTCCAACGAGAGGGGTCGTATTTGGCCAATGGAAGGGAGGGCACGACCAGGGGTCAGCGTCGCAATGCGTGGAGACCTTCATGAGTATAGATGCGTAGGGTTAATGCTATACAAGAAACCTATATAAGTGAAAAACGGCGCTGGCTGGTTAAAGGAAAAGCCAATCCCGCTGATCATTTTTTGACAAATAAAAAACCGAATTTTTGAGAGTGGCTCTTAGAGGACCCGTGGTCGGCACAGCCCCTCACTGCAGAGCATTGAATTCATCACCTCTCTTCACGTAATGTACATAATGTTTTTGCAGACGGCTGTTACAGAAGCGCTAGCACTGGGCCACCAGAAGTAGTCTAATGGCGCTGTGCCATGAAGGTGCCTCCCAAATAGAAAGCGAAAGGAACCGCAATTCCCCCTCGTGGCTATTTTGTTTATAAACAGTTACATTCACACTAGGTTCTTGAAGCCTTCACCTAACCAGCTCGAGGTATGTTTCAGTTCTTTTCAAACTCCCATCAAAGTCCGTTTCAGCTGACCATGCCCCCCATCTCCGCCCATCTAATGTGGTTCGTCGTTGCCTTGAGGAGTACTTTTCATATTATTGTTATTTCAAAGAGCACTTAACAAAAAAGTGGACGTTTTCGATTTTGAAAGGTAATTTCAGACCTGTGGTTCATCGGCAACGACCGCAACTTCATGGTTGTGAATCTCCATGGTCACTCATACAGCTTAAAGCTGTTATCAGCTGACGTAAGAATCGTGCAAGTGGTGACTCTGAAAAAGCTCTGCTAATGTAGTGACGGATTATGCTATAGGGATTGTGCGAAAAAAAAGTGTTACAGCTTCTACTCAAACATTTTTAGGTCTTAGTTTTTAGCGAAAACTATTATACTTTTTTGATTTCCTCCCCAATTTCAAAAATCATGAGTGTTCCCTTGGGAAGTGAAAGAATACTAATTCCAAAGCTGCAAGTGGAAAGAATTTCAGGTGAGCACTTCAAAGTGCAAAAATAGGCCAAATGAATGTGGAATTGCGATACACCAACTGTCGTCGTCACTGCTTATCCTCAAGTTTCCGCCGTAGACCAAAATTAAATTGGTTCTAAAGCTAGCCGTTATCAGTACAAATCATCAATAAAGTACAATCCTTCATTCACATATAGTCTACTTCACTTTTCCGGCGCTTAGGATCATTTCTACGAGGAAAGAATGATTTCGAGCCCGGAAAGAAACAACTAGGGAACGCTGAAAACCAGATTCATTTTATGATTTCAGCAATGAATGGACACTTTTTCTCTCAATTTTGTATTTCCAACCAGTGGGAACTTATGTATTTTGCTGAGTTTTAGAACGATAATATGCTCAGTTCATGTCAGTACACGAGGAAGAGTTCGTGCGAAAGAAGGGCGGAGTTTGTGTGATAGGCGGGTCTGTTAGACCAGATAAATCGAACAGTTTTATTGGGGATGTCCTCGTAGCTGCGGAAATAATATAGCTCCACTACGGCAGGCACACTTCTTACACCGTAGTACATCTACATATATCAGGAGCAGTCTTGGCAAGAAGGTATTAATAGAAATTGGTTTTCAAAAACGATATCTGAAAAATATATTTACTTTTATAAGTATTGAACGAGGAACATTGTTTTTCCATCGATAAATTTTGTCCACTTATCGATAGGAAATAAATAGATACCTCTTATGAGTTGTTCAACCATATGTTGTCAGTGATTGCTATGACAGCATCTTTTTGAATGAACAGATACCATACAGAAGGAAAAAATTGGAGCACAAAATATTGCGTACAATCGGATGTGAGGACCAGGGCTATCCCGTTTCGTTATATTGATTGAATTTTGAGTTTGCATAATAATTCCACTCGCACGCATTCATTTCCGCTCAGTGCGATCAGCCGCTTGTGATCCGACTTCGCACGGTTTCAAACCAACGCAACGTATGGCAGTAGGTACGTCCAATTGAAAGTGTCACTTGTCGACAGTTGTCTTTCAAAAGCCCCCAGGAGCTCGAGCCATATCAAGGTCTTCTTTTTATCTTCGCCAGTTGTATCATATGCTTAATGTCGATTCAATTTGTATTATGGGATCTGCGGGCGCAGCAACTTTTCAGACAGCGCTCAAAGTATTTCCAATATTCCCGCTTCGACCGTCTTCATGCAACCGCCTGCTACCAATTCATCAACCCTGCAGAACTTGTCAATTTTATTCAATTTACACAGCTTTAATCCGAATTAGAGCTTTTCCTAAAGGCACACATGATTACTGAAGGGCGGAGCCATCTTGGTGACGTCATTGGGCGTGACTGGTGAAATGGTGGTGGGATGTGGTCCGAAGCACGTCTACAAGGGAGACGTTCAGTTCTTTTCCTGGGGCAGGTAACCAGAGCTGCGCGATCACTAAAACTAAGGTTGAGCTTGGGTTTAACTTAGGTTTGGGCTTATGCTTACACATTGGCTTATGCTTAAGCCTACGATTGGGCCTAGGCTTAGTCCTGAACTTGCTTCGATGAATGGTGTCTCAATTTTAGGCGACCTGACCTGAGGAGGACAACTGCAGCGCACCCGTCTATAATCGCGTTAAGGGACCCGTTCCGCCAATGATGTCTAACGACGTTCATCAAAATCGGTCCCACCTCCGAACATTCTGTTCACTGCCTTTAAGTCAGCACTGCTCAGTACGATTATTTGCGTAGGAAATCTACGGCGCACTGTCGATTTGGCACTGAACAGTGAGAGTTTTTCGACTGAAAACTGTTGATTCAGCGGTTAATAAAACCAGGATTTAGCAGAACATTTTTATAGCGGATTTTTGGTGGGATATTTGCACGAATTGGGTGAATCTACCTTCTATTGAAGAGCTGTGATTATAAGTAGACAAATAAACAAAGCAAGATTAGTGTCGTCGTCGGACGGCGGATTAAACTTGAACCCCATAAAAGAAAAGTAGTTGGTTTGTCAGTGAGTATTGGGAAGGAAATAATCCTTATCATTGTTGCGGTGCTCTTATCGATGACAACCTTGTGAGTGAACCTTTCAATCAGCGCTGCCCTCAGCAGTTTGAAACGGGTATTTCCCATACAGACATTGCGAAATACTTCTTTGAATGACAGCAATGATTTTTACAAGTGCAGCATTGATTTTTTTGCTTGTTGGCTGATAAACATCGAATGGCTTTCGTTGTGTGTGATGGCTGGGGCCGGAGTGACTTCGGAGGGAAGCCGCTATCTTCATTGACAGAAATGTTAAAATCAACTCGGAGCTACCAGGAGGTGATGTTGATGGACAATCTGTTGCCCTGGGTCACCAAGCACTTCGCCCAACGACCTTTCATCCTTCAGCAAGATTGGGCTCCTTCTCATGCCTCCAAATCCACCAAAGCCCTTCTGGATACGCACTTCACCGGTCACTTGGGCAAAGATACGTCCGGTGAGAAAGAAGGCCTTTTTTCTTACCGAACCTCAATCCGATGGGCTTCGCCTTGTGAGGGTACTTGGAAAGCATGGCCCAAAAGCACTCCTACAGCTCGGTGGACGCTCTGAAATTGGCGTCAAGAAGGCGTGGGACGATGTCGACGTCGAATACCTGAGGCGCACAGTCGATTCCGTCGTCGGTTGTTTGGAGGCATATAAAAAAGCAAAAGAGTCAAATTTCGAGTACGCTCGTTTCTGAGGAATTGTATAGCTATGCATTAGTTCTCGATAAAGTTTGTTTATTACTTTCTTCCACAACTTGAAGAATAAACATAAAAATATAATGCCTTATACTTTTCAACCACACTCTACATAAACATTTGTATAAGTGTAAGTTAAAATACCTGTCGTGGCTCAGGTAGGACTAGATTGTAGGGCTAAAAAATCCGCTGCCCACTCAATTAATAGCAACAATGCCGAGGTATACGTAGGACACTTACATAGGTGAAAGTCATAGTGTGAGACTGATGTTAAGGATCAAGTAGCACCATTGCTTTATGAACGTCAGGACCTTTCACAGGACTCCCCTATTAGATTCACTGCGAGGTAGCTTGAAAAAAGGCTTTTATATCCATGAAAACAAGAAATTGAGAATATAAGCTTTATAGCTTCCATGCTTGCACCATTGGCTCTTTGCGAACCCTTCCGTTTTTAAGTTTTATTTCCGAGGAGGCGAGCAGGGCTAGATCGATTGAATAGGTGTGATTGACGAGGTGGGGCACAATTATGGAAACCGATCAAATGGCAAGTGAAAATCTTATTTCAGTCCAAGTACAGAGACAGCTATAATAGGTTAATTCTATGGAACAACCTGAACACAACGCAATGTTCACTGACCCTCTACGCATTTTACATATTCTTCCTCCAATTTTTCAGAAAATTTCCACTTGAAAAGCGACACATTGCACTTCAACCCATCTTCGATTTATCGCAAACAAACGAACCTTCTCGCTGATTTTGGCACAGCCCGCGGTTGACCGTGCTTCCCAAGACATTCCGGAAATGGGATAGTAGGCGCGGCGCGTCTGTAAGAATAATTCACCTTTTTTTATTGGACAAAATCGTAAAACGGAGGCGTTTCTTCAGCGACCATTCCTGGACCGCTTCCTTTTTCGTCGCTCTATGATGCTTCGAAGCTTTGTTGCGGTTACTTTTTTGGAGAATATTTTAGGAGAATTGGAGCTTGGTGCTTTTGATGTATATGGTTTGAAACGGCGTTATGGAAACTTCACTTCTGAAAAGTCACATGGCTCCATTAATGTGAAAAGTGGCCGAAACAACAAAGGGACTTTGAAGCGATATGCTTCATCGAAATAGTTGAGCGTTTCCCAATGTTGCCAAGCCCTTGTGAAGTCTCAATGGCTCAATCCGCTTGCATTGAAAGAGGCCCTTTTTCCACTTATGACTCAATCTAGATCTGTTAGAGTTTAGGAAATGGAATTCTCGCGTTTCAATGGGGAACTATAATACCACCGCACTGCTTCACTCAGACGATCTCCCAACATTCCCAAATCTTGTTCACACTTCAGTTGATATGAATTTCTCCTTCAATCCTTTTGCTGTCTTTGCAAAAAAGTGGCAGCTATTAGCCTGGAATTTTATTAAATTATTATTTTTTTGCATGTATGAATAAGCTCGGTGATCGTAGTCCTAGAAAAACGAGGGTGGAAATGTCGCATGATGCTTCTTTCTTAACCGTTTGTTTTCCGCAGGATTACCAGATATCCTTATCCGCACATATCCTTAGTGAGGTATACCATTGCCAAAGAAATTTCCCCGTATGACCCACAAGATCCGATGCCCTCCACTCTCCACTTTCACAGTCGTTCTCATCCTCGTTCCATGTCATAGAGCATTTCCCAAAAATCCTGGAGAGAGGAGAAGGAGGGAGTGAAGAACCTACAGTTGACTTTCAGAATTTCTTAATTCAGCGACCAAATTAATAGCACATCTTTCACACATTCTGCATTGACCACTCTTATGCCACATCTGCTCAACTACGAACTTCACTATCTCCACCTCCACTTCTTCAAAGCGTACCTGACCTTCGTTTCGAGTCGTTTTTTGCACAACGGCGGCTATAACATTTGTCATTGTGTTACTGCAGTTACCGTTCCTTGGTGGAAATAAGTTGACGGTTACGGTTGACTTCGTTCCAAGGATTTCCGCGCCTTAGCGAACAATAAGTATCAGGAGTATGTATCTCTGCTGTCGCTTCTCACACACGACTCTAAGGGGACGCATAACTTCGTGCAGGGTACGCCAGTGAAAATGGGACTAACCACGTAACCCGAGGATGACAACGACAAATGTGGCTTTCACTAACCGCTTTCGTCTGGAACGAGCAGCAAGTTTGTGACCGAAGGGCGGTAGTCAATTCTCTACAAGTTGCTTCACTTCTACCTCAACCCTTTCACGAGAACCACAATATCTGGTAACGTGCTAATTAAAGGCAGTGAGAATGCTAGATGTTGCGCCAGCAAGTCGAACAAGCAGAAAAATCACAAAAAAAAACCATGAAAGCCTACTTTTGTCACTTATTTTACCTTGGACGAGTCTACACCTCTAGAGTTGGCTTTTTGGCTAAGTGGCCCCTGGAGGAGTGCTCGACACGATGACGATACAGCTGCTTTGTACAAAATGCGCTTTCAAACTGGAAACTGAAAGAAGATCATAGCTGTATCACAGGACTCCAGCTGTAGTGGGGGACGATTTTGGGACAGGGCGACTCGACGGGACGGCTTTTCAGGTCTGCGCCACAACTACCGCTTTTTACGTCACGATGGTTCTGTTTGCTCCCTTTGCCCCTAGCCATCGCTTGCAGTGGCGCATATACTCTTCGGAGCGTATCCACTTTATCGTAACCACTGCCATCAATAAGTTCACGTAAGTGGTAACTTGAACTGACCGGAGTCAATTGAATTCCTAGGTATTTTTTAGGATGCGATAACGATACAGGTTGCTACTTGCCAGATAATTCCTACATTGCCGGCACTGGTACGATTATGAACCGTCCACTTGCTGGGTGACGTGTTAGTCCGGCGCCGTCCATTTGTGCGCTACCTAAAGAGAAGCATTTGAGCATGAGGGAGCAAGAACATCGAGGAAAGCTCTCAACTTTGGGTATAATGGGTCAAAAATTCAAAATTCTTGCAAAAATATGAGCAGGACGCCGCAGATCTCATCTATTATTTGAGGAGGTTCTTGAACACATTACAGCTCAACATACAGCTCCACCATCAGGACCTCGGTGGAGCATTTCCAAATGACAGGTAATTATAGGGCATTGATGTTCGCATGATTCTGTTTACCTTTCCTCTTGCACCGCAGATCGACCTCTCATCAAAAAATCATCACTGTTGACTTGAGATCGTGAGGCATCCTCCGACAAACAACATGAACACATATCTCGTGAATCCATTCGAATGTAGTGACTGTATAGTTATGAGCCAAGTGACGTTGTATAACTCCTATTCCATCTATTGGGTTGATGCAAAATTATTGCTGATTTTTTCGCGCATTCTTTTTTTCGAAAAGATTGGCGTTTTGTTTATTATTTTTCATGAAAATATTCTTCTTTCTTTCATTAACAGAAATGCTTATCGAAAATCATCTTCATATTCGCCACATATGCTCTACCACTTCGAGAAAGGTTGGAAGGCGGCAGAGTCATTTCGCGATCTCAACGAACTTTTCGGCGAGGGAACAATCAGCAAAAGCCAGATGGTTCAAGAGGTTCAAAACGCCATATTTACCGACCGAAGCTCCTACAGACTACCACTTCAATCAGTCGTTGAAAAACTGGCAAACGAACAAAATTTACGACGAGCTGGATGACTTGGTGGCCGATATTAGAGCGTGGATCGTCTCCAAGAGTCGTGATTCTTCACCGTGGAATCGACCGACTGCCAAGCAAACGGGAAGCATTCTTGAAGTATACAACGGAATAATCTTTTGGCATGTTTTCGTTAAATATTTTTATCGTTTTCGCTGAATAAAATTTGTTGAAAAAATCCGCAATAATTATGCATCAACCCAATATTTCATTCTTCGTATTCATTGCATTAGAAAACACCAACAGTAAGCCATACTTTTCTATCGTCACATCTCTACATTACTGATATTTTTTAGTAATAGTCCAAAGGATTGGCCGAAACCCTCTCGGCCTCTCTTTTGCAAATGTTATTAACATAAATCGGGCTGGAGATAGAGATATTCACATTCCCCGTCTACCACTCGATGCCAATGCATCACCAGCTATGTAGTCGTTCTCTCTACCTAGAACGACGGAAGTTGGAGCTTATCAGCTTCGCGCTGGTGACAGGTCAAATGGGCTGCCAAGTAATAATTGCCTGTGGATCGTTTGCCGTAATTTTTTTTGCATTGATATCAGAACAATCAACGTCTTATGGTAAATGTGACTTTGCCCTATCTTTGATTTTGTACTTTTACTACCAAAATCCACGGGTGTTAGGTGAGGCGGCGGCGAAAGCGCACCCAAAAGAAGGGACGTCGTCGTGGATGTGTTCAACTAAGCGTCGAACGCCATTTCAACTTGATTCATCCCTTCGAAAGCGCTGGAGGCGGCAGGACCCGGTAGTCGTGAGGTGCGATGATAGGGTTTCAGGACTTTGTTTTTCCTGGCTGAATACTAGCCTCCTGAAATCTAAAACGTGTGTCGGTGGCGACCACGAGCTTCTACCTCGAGCTCACAGAAAAAATTCAGTCTGAGGTAGGGGTACTGAGGCTGCTTTGTGTTCCCTGATCTCCATTACAGCTCTGACCTCTTCTTGTCATAATGCTACACATTCGTCACCTCCAACATTTGTTGCGACCGAGAGTTTGAAGCAGAGCATCAGGCTTACTCAAGCCCCAGCTTCCATCCTCATGGGAAAGGGAGTCGACAAGCTGTCTGAGCGTCGGCGTCAATTGTGGCTAGGAATGCCGTACCTCTGACCTCCAGAACGTTGTTCAAATATCTTCAAAATTTTAGGAGTTCTAGGTCAGATTCTTTCCCGAGTGGCCATGGAGAGAAGAAAAGGATGTGTGAGTCGCTTTCTGTTCTGCCATAGTCTGCTAAAGAAGTGCGAAAATAATGGCTAAGAATCAACTATAATGGAATCTTATCTGAGTCCTTTCTATGTTTTCTCAAGTTTGCGTATTTTTTACTACTTTTCCGCTCTCATTACCGCCTGGCGCATTACAGAAGTTGCGACACGCTCCCTCTGATGACAATTATCCCTTATTTCAGGGAGGTACGCGTGATGGTGCAGCTACACTCCAATGTTGAGGCACTTTTTTCTCTGAAGATTCGCGCTGTCTGGATTCTAGTCGCGTATGGCTGGTCCTATAACGCAACTCTATTTTACCCAGCCGTGGGAACGATCAGCGGCGGTGGATGCTCTGCTGGGGGGAATAGGATACGGATGGGATACGCCACGTCATCGCCAAAAATCCGGAATCATAAAACATATGGATGCGTACTGATCTATGACATCACCTATGAGGGCCATTTATGCACATATGTCTTATTAGTTTCTTACCGCCAGTGAGCCATACTCTATACAATCCATGGCGGATTGGTAAAAAAAACTGGTTAGCCAGAGCGCCGTTGAACCTAGGATAGCAGCAGCATGTCCTACTGTCCAGCGCTATTTTCGAAAGTAAACGCATATCTCGCAAGCCACTCAGCACAGCTGGGACCTCTATGGACATGTTCTGCCTTATCAACACTTTTTCTAAAATACGCTTTCAGTTGTGTATTGTTGCATAGATGATTTCAGTGCAAAAAACGATTCCCTCCGCCGCCACCAAGACGGGATGTGGTTATCAGAAGCACTGATATGTGTGCAGAAATGCAAGAAGAAGTCGTTTCAATTGTTTGCCGTGCACACGAGAAGTTTCGCGTTGAAAAGGTGAGCGCATCTTACGTCACACCCGAAATCATCAAATAAGGCACTACTCGAGACAGCAAAAGAACGCGTGCACTTCATTCACAACGTACACAAAAAACCCTACATAGTAGCGATTTTTTGAAAGCTCTATCGAAATTCGGGAAAAACTTCAAAATGTGACCCAGCAAAGGAACACTAAAGGGGATTAGAGGGGTGGGAGTGATGAGAAAGTGAAAACATTTTTATGAATAGCTTGAGGAAGACTTCAGAAGCGAAGTATGAGCGGCCGATTGGACGACTTGGGTTCGGTTTCGGTTCATAGGGATTGTACCCAATACTACCGTTTCGGGCAGGTTCTGTCTCCATGTAAATCGGAGAATGTCGAAATGCTGATTTCTGTCGCCTGGATGAAGCGATAAAGCACTTCTTCTGAGCTCAGTTATAATACTGAAGAAAATGAGGAAAATGACAAACAAGCAGTCATAGAGCGGAAAACGAAAGAATTATCTACACGATTTTCCAGGTAATACAATACTTATGTTGATTGAATCTATATGCCCAAAAACTATGATATAATGTTCCAACCTAATATTCGAGCTAAGAATGACGCTGCATCAAGTTACCATAATCAACTCACCACGTGATTCCTTCGAAAGATTCTGCGTGAATTTCATAGTGTTTACTGGGTTAGCAACAATTTTGGGATTTAAATACCAATTTACAGCTCAACGCAAAGTCGCAAACCCTTCGCAAAACAAAGTTTGACCCTTTTTGTTGAGTTGTCTACTAGAGGAGAGTTATAGTTATCGAAGAGTGAAGAGCAAAATAAATGTAGAGTGTGGCTGGTGGAATGAGTATACTGCACCATGATATTCTAGCCCAGCCCCTTGCATGGAATGAATTGAAACAAACGTTTAGTAGGAAAACATGAATCGAACATCTTCTAGTGTTCGCATTTAATATGATCCTCTGATTTTAATAAGAAGAGTGGCATAACTCCCTTCGGTAATTTGCTCTTTTGTACTCTAATGTTCCAGTTCTTGATAGATTGAAGAAGCTCGTTGCTTCTTAGGCCTTACTTTGCATGCGCTTACACGATTGGCCTAATTGGAACAATCACATTAAAGTATGCGCTACTCTAGGGCAGCACCACTTTCGTAACACAAGAGAACGTGGTGAAGGCGTCAAGAGATCCTCATTTGGCCTCCGCTCGACGGGATGTCGCCGTGCACCGTTGCGAATGATAGCTTTTTGCATGTGTCTGCGTCTCACCTCGCCGCGATGCTACTTTGCATGCACGCTCTCCTCGCATCCACTGTTTTTCGTCATTGAATTGTCCTCCTCAAAATTCATTTCTACATGATTCCTGAGTCTTCAGTGATTTGCAATGCTTTACTTTTCTTCTGTGGCGCTTCATTCCTGGCCTCAGCTTTCAGTTTCCATCAAAGCTGTCACTTTTTCGATCATGAATTTCCTTTCATACTCCTAAACATCCTTGATTTTCCTCAAAAAAGAAGTTTGCTTCTCCACAAACTTCAGATTTAGTTTAATTTAGAACAAACTATGAAGTCCCAAGCTTTGTGTGCCCCTCTATCAGAGGTTCTGGCTGACAGTATCAGGTGCAATAGTTGATGTCGGATAAGACTGTACTTTTCTTGCAGGACATAGCAGCGTACATCAAGCAGGAGATGGACAGGAAGTACCACCATTCATGGCAATGTGTTGTTGGCAGAAATTTCGGCTCTTATGTGACCCATGAGACAAATCATTTCATGTATCTTTACGTGAGAAATACGGCAGTAATGGTCTTCAAAACTGGCTGTTGAAACGCTCACTCTGCGATTTCCATACCCACTACTAATCCTTTGACGTTCCCAATACAATATCGTCATCGTAACTTATTTACTAACTAGTAAAACATACGGTACGGTAATAAAGGAATGTCGCTTTATTCTGTACGAAAAGCGTTATATTAAGAAGTATTTCAACAACACAATAATCAGCACAAAGAAGGTCGATACATAAGTGGATGAAGTGTTGCAATAGTCTCGGTCGTTGCAGAAGCAGTAGAACCACCTAAACGAGTAACCAGTGCAGGTGAACCTCTACTTGCTGCAGTATGAACTAGTTGCTTAAAATAGAATAGACTCTGAAAATACTTTTCCAACGGTGATAGTTAAGCGGAGACCAGGAGCCATGCTACTCTCTGGAATCGGACTCGCGGCACGCCTCGCGTGCCGCACGCTCCGCTTGGCGGCACGTTACAACTATGAACGGAATGCGACACTACCTCTACTAAATTTAAATAGTATACCTTAACACAGCAATAGTTCAACTGAATTATATAGTTACCCGTTTATTCCCATTTTTTTGAAAAACAAAGTTGGAATAGTGTAAGCATTGCAATATACCTTTTAACTGGCGCAGATGCGTCTTGATACGGGAAGCATGATCCACTCTGGACGTATGACAGATTTTGAGGGTTAACTTGTAAGTTTGTCTGGTAATAGCAATCGCTCTTGAACGTGACATATTCAACTCCAGGATTCATCGAGTCCAGTATCCTCACGCAGTACTGAAGTTACTTCTCTTAAAATGGATATCTCAAGCCAAGGTTTTTCCCAACTGACATTGTTTGTTTCACAATGGTTGTTCCGGTTGTCGCAGGTACTCGTCTGAGTAAATCTAAAGAAAATAATGTAAATAACGTTAATTATTAGTTAAGAAGCATGGCTCTAATGAACAGTAGTCATCAAAGAGCACAATACACTGGATATGCCAAAATTTGTGAAGGAAGTCGGATGTGCGTACAGGTAAGATTATACAAAACGGTATCCACGACGATCCACAGTATAACCTAGAAGATTGTAGGAAAGAGCAGAAGGGTTAGATGTGACAGGTAGGGCTCCTTTTTGGTGAGCTCCGACAACGGACGACTTCTGATGGTATCATCCCTCCGAAAGTCGGCATACACCCACACCTCCTGTTACCTCTTACGGAATGGTTCTGCTGTCCTTTTTCCATACAACAGGCTTCTACATTTAGCTGTGTAGACCTATTGCGGGCCACGATCCACATAGCATCACACCGGTACATTGACCAGGATCGTTTTGACAAGCTTACCCCGCCATTTTTTCACTTCCTGTGATGTTGTTATGCATTCCAGATGGGAAAACTGTAAATTTTCTATAACACTATCCATTGGTTATCCGTAGCCTTTCTGGTTACCGTAGAGAAGAACCCGATGTTGAGAAGGTGCAGAAGGCATGATGGTCTACAATGGCTTACAGTTCACTGGAGATTAAGCTTAAAGGCAAGATTCGGGATAAAATGGGTGTCTAAAAGCGTTC